CCCCTACAACCCCACAACCCCACAACCCTAACCCCCACCCAAACCCCCAAAACCTAAACCCTAAACCTTGAAACCCTAAACCCTAAACCTTTAAACCCTAAACCCTAAACCACTAAACCCCTACAACCCCACAACCCTAAACCCCTAAACCCCAAACCCCTAGAACCCCACAACCCTAAACCCCTAAACCCCAAACCCTAAACCCTAAACCTTGAAACCCTAAACCCAAAACCTTTAAACCCCAAACCCAACCCCTAAACCCCTAGAACCCCACAACCCCTAACCCCCACCCAAACCCCGAAGCTGAGGCCGGGCTCTGTGATTCCTGGGCAGATGCAGAGCTTCCGTATCTGCGTGCACGGAGCCACAGCGGAGAGGGGCTTAGGGGTTTAGGGGCTTAGGGGCTTAGGGGTTTAGGGGCTTAGGGTTTAGGGTGTACGGTTTAGGGGTTTAGGGTTTAGGGGTTCAGGGTTTAGGGGTTTAGGGTGTAGGATTTAGGGTTTAGGGGGCTAGGAGGAATGGAAAAGAGAATGGAAAATACTATCATGGGTTAAATAGGGACTGATATATAAGGCCCCATTCCTTCATTCCTAGCTAACCAAAGGTAGGCGTCAAAGTAGGAGATGTAGGGGTTATGTAGGGATCTATCCTTCCTCTAGGGTTTTGGGTTTTTAGGGTTTAGGGTTTAAGATTTTCAGGGTTTAGGGTTTAGGGTTGAGAGTGTTGGGCTCCTTCGGATTGTTGCGTTAGAGTATAACTCATTGGAATCAGTAAACAGATTCTTTAGACATAGGTCTGGGGGGATTGCAGTCATAGATTGGAACCCTATCCCGCCCTGACCCCAATCATTTCAAAGGTGAGCCTTGTGCGCAGGCGCCCGGACCTGGCAAAATCATAGGTCTGTTTCACCCTAAACCCTAAGCCTTCATCAGTTTTCTGGAGAATACGGGAGAACCCAAAAATAACCTCAAGCTGAGACATGCCAGTGGAGGGCCCTTCTTGTACCAAGCCATTTTAGTTACCCCAACCCCTAAATTCGGACCTTGCGAATGGAACATCTTGGGCTATAAAAATGGACCAAAAAATGCTGTGTGCGAAAGGTTCAGCATGGTCCAGCATTGATTTCGGAGCGCAGCCCGCAAAGCAAGCCTTGTTGCTGGAATTTGGTTTGACTATGTCTATGTCCATGCAGCTCATGCATGAAAGAGTACATACTGCATCTACTGTATCTAGGGTTTCGCTAGCAAAGAAGCACGAGTGTTCAGTTGCTGTAATGGTGTGGAAAGTCGAAGAGCTTGTCTACCTCTCGGGACACCGTGTCAGCGCACAGTACAGTTTATACAGAACGGCGGGGGGAAATCGTAAACATAGTGTGGTCATCTGCATTGCAACGCCTTCTACACTTCCCCACCCAGTGCCGCAGCTGCTACAGCGTGAAGAACACAATTGAGGGTGTCATGTTTGACATGCATTACCTGTTGAAAGCTCAGATCCTCTATTCTCGATGCTGCAATGCGGTCGCGCGCGAAAGGTGCGCAAAAGGCGAACATGTCTGTAGAACTGACTGGGCAACTTGCCCTTCCTGGACTGTGGATACCAAGGATCTGCTTTGCTAGTTTGCTGTCAAGAAACTTAAATGAAGTTACCATAATGGGTATAATTACATCCTAGACAACCCTCAACCCTATACTATACCCCTGTAGTAACTTAAATCAAGTTCCTTAGCAGCAACCCAATTTCTGTTAGTTGATAGACTTGGTGAGTTGCCAAGTTATCAGACCCAGGGTTCTAGGGTGCCCGCGAAAGGGCGCGAAAAGACTGCAAAAGGGTAAGCGAAAGACCCAATGTGGTTTAGCGTTTAGGGTTTAGGGATGTCGGATGAAAGAATATTGAGCAATCCCGTTCTTGCTGAGAGCTTACTGAGAATCCTCAAACCTACTGTAGACCTAGACCTTACAACCCAAAGCCCCAAAGCCCTAAATCCTGAACCCTGAAGCCCCCAAAAAACTCTAGCTGAAACCTCCCCCGGAGTACCCATAACAAGGTTTAAATCTTACCCCTAAACCCTCCCTCGAATCCTAAATCCGAAGCCCTAAGCCTCTTAAGCAGGGCTTGATCCTTGACTTAAAACGCTACCTGGATACCCCGTCCCAACTGGCCTAAACCCTAAACCCTAAGCCAAGGCCTCAGCCATATCCTGGGGTGCAGTACCGGGCTCGGGCTTGGATTGCACTGGGAGGGCAGCATTGTCTGCAGTATGTCAATCCTTAGGGGCTTGGGGTTTGGGGGTTTAGGGCCGAGAGTTCGGGGGTCTGGGCTTAGGGGTGTGAGGTGTAGGGCTCATCGGCTTCGAGGTTTAGGGGTATAGGTTTCAGGGCGGGTTTGTGGGTTTACCTCCTGTTGCAGTGGGAGTCCTCGTATGGCTTTCCTCCATTGTACGGAGCGATGATTTAGTCGGTCTGCTGCATGAAAATGAAAGTGCAACCGAGAATCTTCGCGTCCGCCAGCTGTGAGATCCCGTTTGGACTGCTTGGGGTTTCTCAACGTAATCCCACTCCTAAACCCAAAGCCCTCAACCCTGAGCCCTAAACCCTAAACCCTATACCCCAAGCTCTAAACCCTAAGCCCTAAGCCCTAAATCCCTAAACCCTATACCCCAAGCTCTAAACCCTGAACCCTAAACCCTCAATCCTAAACCCTGGACCATGGACATGCCCGCACCAAGCCGCTGAGGATTCGGAAGTCGCCGAACCTGGACGACAAGCACAACCGCTTCCTCCAGGTGGGTGCGTCCTCACTAATATGAGGTTCTAGGGTTTAGGGTTTAGGAATCAAAAGAGCTGCGGACTCAAGTTAGGTTAGGCGGGGACCTACTGGGACACATACTTACTGGTTCTTCCCTCCAGACTGGTATAACCGCGCGGTTTTGAAGGGGTTGTAGGAGCTAATTTTTGCTGACAGGCGTGGGGTTTCGTGCATTTGCCAGGCTGCCAGAGGCCATTTTATGCCCATATTCGCAGTGTCTTGTGGCCGGGCAGCATAGCACCGTGGGTGACCTTTCTGGCATCCATGCCCAAACGA